CCCCAGATTTCTTTGGATGAATTCCTGGCTTTGGCACTTGACAATCATAAGGCTCTGGGCAGGACGGGTAATGTTCTTGCTTCAGCTTACACATCTCACTAAGCACATTTATATAAGGTTGTTTGAAAAAGTAAAGGGGGGAAGTAAGTATGAAATACTAGAATGATGCCAGGTGAACAAAACAATGCTTGGTATATATTTAAGACTCGATTGCTGTTGTCATCAATTACAATAATAAAACAGCAACTACAATAGCAATCATAAGATTTTCAAAGATGAAAAATCGCAAAGACAGAGATGTTGATTATGAAATTCTAAGAGTTAAAATACAACTGAAATGGCTTACTATGGTTGACCATGTCTATTTTCTGATAAATCAAGAGAAAAATATACTGCTTCTTGATGATAGTAAGTACAAACAAACTCTAACAATAGCTTCTGTTGCATCATATTTCAGCATGCAAGGAAATATGAGGGTAGGTTTGCCTCTTACAGGCTGCACTTTATGAATATTTATCATGTGGATTCCCTAGCAGTCCAAGGCCTCTTACATATACTAATTCATGTTGGTTTGCATTTTTTTCTGCAATGGAAGCAATGGTCCTTCTTCTACAGCCCCTCTAATAGGAGATAAAGCAGAATGCTTTGAACGTACTCACCATGCTCCTTTGTGACTTCTTTATAGCTTATTTGCGTTCTGCAAATAAATTCCAATTTGATATATGTTAAATTCATATCATGGGAATTGAGTTAAAGTTCTATAAGCAAGAGGCCGTAATGTGTCTTTCACCTGGGAGACATGTAAAACAAGGAAGGCAAATCAAGTAAACAGCCCTTCTCTTGAGTCTTTTGAAGACACTGGTTATTATAAGTGACTGAGATGGTTATAATGCGTAAAGCCATCAAGCTTGTTAATATCTATCTCTGAAACCGTGAAATTCAAAGGAGCTTGGAAAGGTCATTTTGCCATTCTCGTCCACTCTGACCAAAACACAAATAAAATAATTGCAAACTAGAATAAAGTTATGCTGGTTTTTAGAGAGTTTCTGAAAGGTATTGCACAATCTCCCTCAAATATAGTTGGGTTTTTTAACGATCCTCATTGCGGAAAAGGTCATTTTAATATCTAACTGGAGGCCCAGCTGCTGTAATAAAAGGGCATGTCCTTCTTTCAGTCCTTGTTAGAGATGGCAAAGTGTTGCTTACCAGCTTTGTGACCAATAACTGGTCATTGAATACCTACTGTGAGTCTGTTCCATTCTTAAAATAACCCTTTATGCATTCAAATCACCGAGAAGTCACTTTACAACTCTATTTCCAGGCCAAATTAACCCATAAACATTTTCTTCCTGGGGCCCCAGTTTCCGACTCTCTTAATCTTTACAGCCTTTTTCTGCAGATGCCCTGCACTCCATCCAGCAGGGAGCACATTCCTCAGTAGTTGCTGAGAAATTTGGAATAGAAGAGATCTTTCATTCAGTTCTTTTGGTTTATTTTTTCATTTTGTTTTGTTTATACCTGTAGAATGTACGCCACTCTTTTTTTACTACCACATGTGGAATCCTTCCAAGATTTGCCTTAAGCTTTTGTAACTCCTGAATAGAGGAAAATGGACAGGAAGAAGGCAGGAAAGACATCAGTAACATATTGATACAGAAAGCCTTATTTATGAAACAAAGTCAGAGAAAAGTACGATGTACCCACAAAAAGAATGGCCTTCTCTGTCAGTGCTTTTGTTCAAAATCACTTTGAGCAAATAAACCAACGACACTGTGTGTTAGCAGGAGAGCCAATAGTGGTAAGTTTATGTACAAATGGAAATGAAGAGGGAATTCTTATAGCGGGGTTTTAAAAATAAAGCTAAGACAGTAGTTTCTTTAATATTTCTTTCCTCACAGTTGGAGGCCAAGCAAGCAGTCAACAAACAGTCGTATACAATGCTTTGGAACGTTCTGTGGGAAATTACAGAACGAGTACTGCTTAGGAAGAGTTGACAGCAGTTAGGGAGAACCAACAAGCTTACCGTCCTACAAGTCATTACTAATAAAAATGTGATCCAAAATAAGATGTCAGAAAGCCAAGCAGTGTATACAAGAGTTGGAATTCCCACAGGTTGGTGGCATTACCTAGACTGGCCTAGGCAGAGTTCACCATGAGGGAGAGGGACTGTGGGCTGGTTCCTGACTGACGGGTAGACAGACACATACCGGGCATCGTGCAGAAGGTGGGTCACACCGACCACTGCCCAGGGCCTTTGTAGTCAGTCATCCACCTGGCAGGTAAATTGATCATCCTTGAATCTGGATGTCACTTTTTTTTTTTTTTTTGCGGGGGATGGAGGTGGTACCGGGGAATGAACTCGGGTCCTTGCGCTTTCAAGGGAGGTGGCGGCACCACTGAGCTAAATCTCTGGCCCTGAATTTGGAGTAAGATTTCATGGGCTGAAATCAGAAGCTCAGCAGAGGACGTGAAGAAAGCGACCACCCCTGGGGTGACTGAACCTGGCGATCGTGTTGCCAGGGAAATTCTCTTGGGAGTGGTTTTCCTCAGCCAGTCCCGTAATCGGATACAAGCCGAGTGTGTGCTTGCACACACACAGACATGCGTGTGAGGAGTATGCAGGTACCATCCCTGTGCACCTGTGGTCGTCAATGCACGTACACACAGCGTCCTCCCTTCTCCCATGAAAACACAGAACTACACGTCAGGGCCTTCTAGAGACGGTTCTGATGGCATCGAAGAGAATCTCTGTAACGTTTGTGAATCCACGGAAATTCTTACAGGGAAAGCCAACTCTGTACTCTGAGAGAGAAAGCTTAGACAACCACGAGATAGAGGGGCAAACAGGAAAAAGAATGAGATGAAACAGAAGCAGGTAGACAGAGAAGAGAAGAAGAAAGAAAAAGGAAGCAGAAGAGAGCAGCACGGTGACTTGACTTTAGAAGGATTTGCTCTGTGGGTAAGGATGTCTGATTAAATCTCTTGAGACGTAAAATGTGAGTTCTTGTGTGTACCTCTGCAGCTGCTCCCCAAATACCAGGGCCTCAGCTCTGCCTGAGTCTTGAAGGAGAAATGACAGGGAATGTGAACCTTGGTGACTTGTTCCACGCATTTTCATCTCTTTTTTTTTTTTTTTTTTTTTTTTTTTTTTTGTGGTGGGGGCACTGGGGATCGAACTCGGGACCTTGTGCTTGCCAGGCCGGCGGCGGCACCACTGAGATAAATCCTGGGCCTCATTCTCATTTCTTTTACATGGCTGGTCCTCAAAAATGTTTGTTGAATTAAATCATTACATTTTAAAGCTTGGAGTCCCAAGACAGACTATTCTGATAGAGTCAATACAACTTTGTTTTCTTTCTACAGGAGTCTCTCCCTGGCTCCTAGCTAGCTGTACCAGGCTCAGAGGGACCCTCATGGACGGCCAGTGCCCCCATGCAGGTCCTTCTCCCTTCTTTCCCTACCCTAACCCCAAAGTCATTCTACTCATTCTTAAAAGTTTATAATTTTGTATTTCATTCTCTCGATTTAAGTCAAATGGATTCCACAGGTTTTCCTAGGAGAGGAAAACATTCAGCCATATCAAACACTCTGACTCGGTCTGAGAGCATATGCGGGATTCTTTGTGAAAAACAGAATTTGTGTCTGGAGGGAAAGAATTCCGGTTGCCTGAGGACAAAACAGTGACACACACACCAAAGTGGGCTCCAGGGGAGTGGTGACAGCATGGGCCTGCTCCTCTGTTTGTCTCATTAGGTTCCTGCACAGAGATCCCATTTTCTGCTCAGGCTTTTTGCCCTGGTCATTCTGCTGGCCTGGGCTCTTCAGAGTTTAGTGCCTGGGAAGCTAAGGATGCCTTTGTCTCTGCTGTCCCAACTCAGCAGCAAAACAGCTGCACCCAGTATATCACAGGCTGCTCCTCTGTTTGTGTTCATTTCCTAAGCAGGTACTTCTCCCTAGATACACCTTTTAGGGTGGTAGTGTCATCAGTCAACAGTGCCCAAGGAACTGGAGGGAAGGGAGGAAGGTCATCGGTCCAAATCCAAAGGACCCTCACTGCCTGGTGCCCTGGCATATGATACAAGTGCTATGTTCTGTGCCCTCTCTTTTCCCTGAGTATAATCATTCTCTCCCAGGAACTCCACCGACTAGAGGGAGGGTGGGAACACACATATATTGATGACTGCCCTTCTCCTCCCTCCATATGACATGGACAGACATGGGCACTCTGAGTTGGACCTTCTTCAGCAGGCCCACGGTTCCGGTGGTTAAGAGATTAGCCCTCCTCTGCTATTCCTTCCCTGTGATCATGAAGTCGCAACCAAGGACTGCACGAGACTCACAATGCTGTCGCGGTTGTTGAGTATCTAATAAACCTCTGACCTTTCAGAAACTCTTCTTCTGGGCAGTTGTGCTTTCTCTTGCTCTTTATTTGTATGTGTTTACTGCCCTATTACTGAACTGGTTCTGCTTGATTTCCTTGTTCACACTTTAATTTGGTAGCACCTTATTTTACAGTCCACTAACTTTGTTAAAAATAAATTCTCTTTACTTGTGTGGTTAGTATTACTCACTTGGTAACGTAAGTACCATATTAGGGTGCAGTGAATGCATAGTTGAAATGCCATGCAATTACAAGGTAAATATATGACGGGTTTATTTCATTCCTCGGCCCGACACAGAGTGACATCGTAATTACTTTTGAACCCATTAAGTGTACGTACCACATAATCTGTAGGAAGATTATGTAGCCAGCTCTCGCCACTTTCTGCTACTACACACTTTCAGAGATTACACCACTTTTAGGATTACATTGTCTCAGATAAATCCCCCAGGCTGAATTGCAGTAGCCATTATGAAATGGCCGCAGGGATAAAGCACACACAGTGCACATATGGAAAAGAGTGGAAAAGCAGCTGTAGCACAACCTGGGGGTGGGGAGACACCTCCATTCTAAATTCGAACTAACGCTTTTATTTTTGCTTTGCCCATGCATTCAATAGGATGGAGTAGGAGAGGTATGGGAGAAACAGCATGTGCCTTCTGAGAGACCAGTCCTCCCCCACAGTGGAGTGTTGCAGCCTAGTATCTAATCGGGGCTTGAAAGTAATTACCAAGGACATGAGCGCCCCTGGGACCAAGACCTTCATCTCCCACAGTAAACACTCTAGGACAATGACTGTTATTCCATGAACTGAGGTTATCGATGTTCTATGACTCTGGATAACTTACCTCAAAGCTGAAATTCCCATTTGTGAGCTCTGGTCTTCTCCAGACTCATAGACCATGGGTTAACGTCTTGTCCTACACCACTGTCTGCGAATGCATGTGCCCCGGGTCATCAATCAGCAGAGCGGTCCCACTTTATTTGTCATTTGTGTGGATGTCCTCTTTTAATAAAGTATAAAATACACTTTGAAGGTAAACATGACTTCTTAAAATACATATGTTAAGGAGTTGTCTGTCTCGAACTAGAAAACATATTCTTTGCAAAATTGATTCCCTACAAGAGTCTATTACATGGTAAGCTACCTTAATGCAGTTAAGATATTTGACTAGCATCATTTTGATTTATACGAGGCTTTTGAGAAATGGGATTATTGTGCGAAATAACTCACGGCTAGCTACATATATCATTTTCTATGAGCAATAGCTCCAGAAATCCAATAGCATTTCACTTTGCATCCCAGGGTGGCTCTCTGGCACCATGCCCATGCTGGCCATTTAGGGATTCTCTTGTGTTTTCCAGGCATCGAGAATGCCAGTGACATCGCTCTCTATTCAGGCCTGGGTGCCGCAGTCGTCGCTGTTGCAGTCCTGGTCATTGGAGTCACCCTTTACAGACGGAGCCAGAGCGACTACGGAGTGGATGTCATTGACTCTTCTGCATTGACAGGTGGCTTCCAGACCTTCAACTTCAAAACAGTCCGTCAAGGTCAGCGGCGTAGGTCCCCGAATACCTCATCCTCAGGACCAGCGACTACTTTTGCACACGGACCCCAGAGTTCCTGGGAGCCTGTGTGAAAGTAGCTCTTGGCACTGGGAGCCGCTACCAAATTGTCCATACACATCAGCCCCAAGCATGAACGGGGTCTGCTGACATCCTTGGCTACTATGGGGACGAGTGAATCTCAGGGCGCCATTGTAGCATTTTAAAAGGGCCACTTCCGCCTTCGATGTAGAGGGAGCCTAATGAATTCCTTTATCTCAAATTATCCAAAAAGAAGGTTGATTTGAAGATACATATTTAATGTAGTTAACTAAAATACTGAATATTCAAGGCTAAGAACAAAGTCCCAGACCACAGCCTCCCAAGCGTATTGACTACAATAGATGTTGGTTTCTTCTATTTTAAATAAGACTTTAGAAGATATAAAAGCAGTCCGTTAGCCAGAGAGAAAAGGAAACGGCAGCCTAAATGACTCCTGGCTGTCATCAAGTCCAAGCAATCTTATGTAGCAGAGGAAAGCGTATCTGTCAAGTCCAACTACAGCAGTACTCATTTTCAAAACAGAGGACCACTTAATTCTCTTAGATGAACCAAGTCTGTTCCTGACTGTAAGGTGGGGATGAGCTATTTGTGGCTTTCATTTCAGAAAATCTGAAACCATAGCTCTTCAGATGATGTTTGCATCCGTGGCCCTCATGCTCCATACTGTCCCTCTGTTTCTATTCACTGTCAGTCAGTCATGCCCGTGGCACAGGTAAAGAAGTCTCGGCACTTAGCACTGACTGAGTAGGCAGGCCCTGGAGTGGAACTCCAAATCTGACAGAAGCAAGTAGAAGCGCTCTGAGAGAGAGCCAGGAAGGGACACGCATTTCTTCTTGTCATTTATCCCTGGCGACCTCCAACAGAGGTGTATTTTCCGGATTCAGGTATATGGTTGAACACATGGGATCTAATTTGTTATAAATCCAGTGAAGAACCAATTTTTATATTACATACAAAGCTAGAAATATATTTCCATCAAATAATAAGATGTTAGTGTCTGAGACCATAAACACTTGGAAAGAGAGGAACTACATTAGTGTGAGAGAGAGTGTTGTCCACAGACTCTAAAGTCAGAGTCGAAAGCTTCTGTGCAACCTCTTTAATCAGTTATCCTGGAGTCATAGTTTCTACAGCTCTAAAATAAGGATCCACCTAACCTTCACCTCTTAAGAGGATGAAATTACCTAGAATAATGTGGGTAAAGCCTTGGCGTATGTGGAGTGGTCACGGGTAGTGAATGTGTTTCCTCTCACCTCAGGAGTGCACTTCCTGGAGCACCAAGCAGCAAGTGAAGGGTATGAACGTCTTTGGGGAATGTGAACTTACATAAGCTTAAAAGCATCTCCTTAGGGAGATTCATCTCAGAGCTTACATGCACTGTGATTTCAAAGACAATATGTTGCCTTGCCAAATTACCTGACCATTTCTTTTTGGCCAGGAATCTCACAGAACTAGAGAGAGCAGGGAAAATCCTTTGGGAACCACTACTCTCCCTGCATTCATTGTGATGATGTATTTCACAGCAGTGGTGGGTGGCTTTGATCTCCAGGGCCTTAGAGCTATGTCTTCTTCTTGAGCAATATATCCAGGGCGGGAAGGCTGTTACACAGAATGTCCTGGGCTGGGGTATAGCTTAGTGGTAGCGCAGCTTTCTAGTATGCATGAGGGTCTGGGTTCCATATCAGCACTAGAGACAGAGAGAGACAGACACAGAGCCAGAGACAAAGTATGAATGAATGTCATACTTAGAGGAGACCATGGACTTGAGTAGATTTGAGAGACAGGGGTGGCTGACCGGCTCTGACCAGCCTTCTGTAGCAGAAGAATAGCAACCAGTACTCTTGAACTGTAGGCTCTGACACATGTCCATCCTTTTTCCAAGTCTGTGCTATCTAAATATAAGAAATATTTTTGCTTCTTTGCTTCACATAAACTAGGAGGGCCTTTTAAGACTAGGCAAAAATTAGGCCTCTGAAGGTTAAAGCTTGAGATCAAATAGCTCAGAGACTTAGGGATAAAAGTTTGAAGTCTCCAAGGAAATTTCTGTTGCGGGATAGCCCTCCTGGTCTACTTCTTCCGGGAAGACCATGAACCAGAGCAAGGTCACAACCTGTGAAAGTTCATGTGGTTCTTTTAAAAAGCACAGACTCTCTTCAGTGCCTGTGTCTTGGCCCAGCAGCCCCAGGCATGAAAAAAATCAGGCATCATGAAGGAGCCTTCAGATCTCTGGTGTTATCATTTGTGCATCTTTCCTGCGACTGGATTCTCAGAGCATCCAGACAAGATGTGGAAAAAGGCAGGGTTACAGATTTCCTGCTGGCATCATTACAAATTATGAAAATGGAAACACAACAGAGGCTAATACAATATGGCCTAGAATTGCAACATTTTCAAAAATATCATACTTTAAGCATTTTTGTCAGGCCCCAAAGGAAAATTGTTTAATATGATTTGGGTTTCAATTTGAGATGTCACATTGACGGACTGATATGGGTGGGAGGCCTGGGACTGAGGGTTATTTAGTTACTTACTAATAAATGAGATTACTTCATCACAAGAAAGTATCACTGCATTTCTTTTTAATATTTGGCTGGGAAAAACATCGGTAAGCCCCCACAGATACCAAAGTCCAATTTCTTATGCTTTTCTACAGATTATTTTTTTCATTTTGTTTTGAGACAGAAGCATTTTTTTCATTCGTTTTGAGCTGCTCCCCATGTAGAATCTGAGTGGTGCTTTCTTCCCCCTCAGAGTGACATATGAGGCATTCAAGCAAATCTGTTACTCAGACATGGAGCGATTCATGAGGATCCTTGACCCATTTGCTGTGAGGGTTCATCATTTCCTCCCCTGGCTTCAGAAAATGTCCCAAATTCCACAAGAAATATTCTGGAGCCAGCAGAGCTTTGCTGGGAACAGCACTACCTAGTCACCGTGTTGTGTCATCGCTTGCCATTTAAAATGAACAGATGTTATTTTTGCTGCAAACTAGATTGCAAAACAATTTTTTTTGTTAACTTCTCTCTGCCAGTTAAAATAGTCACATAAACAACAGTACCTGAGTTATTTACCTGCCTAAGTGCCAGAAATGCTTACTTTGAAAAGACAAAACTCAAAGACCTTAGAAAGGAGATTTCAGCCCATGGCATTTAGAAGAATGGGTGGAGGGGGACCTCCTGATTCCACGGCCTGGCCACGAATGGCCAGTCCTTCACAGCTGTCCACTTGCTCGGGGTGCCCAGCTGGGACTGCCGGGCCAGCTCTAATTGGAATGGCTCACATCACACAGGTGGTTTTGCAGTTAGAGAAAGCATGCATACTAGGGTACTGGAAGTATCTTTTAGTGTCTCAGTGACAGATCAGTTTTCTTTTACCAGGTAACTCCCTGCTCCTGAATCCTGCCATGCAGCCGGACCTGACAGTGAGCCGGACGTACAGTGGCCCCATCTGCCTACAGGACCCACTAGACAAGGAACTCATGACAGAGTCCTCACTCTTCAACCCTCTGTCGGACATCAAAGTCAAGGTCCAGAGCTCCTTCATGGTTTCCCTGGGAGTATCTGAGAGAGCCGAGTACCCGGGCAAGAATCACTCGGGGACCTTTCCCCATGGAAACAACCGTGGCTTTAGTACGGTGCATCCCAGGAACAAAACACCCTACATCCAAAACCTGTCATCGCTCCCCACAAGGACAGAGCTGAGGACAACAGGTGTCTTTGGCCACTTAGGGGGGCGCTTAGTCATGCCAAATACAGGTAGGTGGCAAATGTACCTCTGTGTATTCTCCAGGGCTTGCTTAAATACCTTTCATTTACACGATTATAGCCTTTTAGGTTCATTTTATGTTTACCATTCTCTTATCAGAGCAGCAGATATCATGACTCCAACTGTCTACTACATGTGCACTGCAAACCAGGGCCAACCCCGAGATCAGATCTTGTAGCCTGCATCACAGAACACAATGAGCCCTATAACGGTTGATGCCCATACTCATGCAGGTCAGGGGACTCTCCAGGGTTTAAGCCCCTTGAAATCTAACACCTAGAATGTAAACGAGAAGCATCAGAAAACTTTCATTGACATGAATGACAAGCATTAAATTGTTACACCGGCGTGGTTTCCATCCTGGGCTGACCATCCAAGGAAGTAACACTCAGTTCCTTCAATAACTGACCTCTTGTAGTCTGTAGACCTTGCTAGAAATGCTACTTTCTGAAGAGCAGTGAAGAGGAATCATCATAGAGTTGCCTTTAAAACTTCATTCATGATATAAGGGCTATTAGCTCTAAAACTTTTTTTCCCCTCTTCTGTGGGGGAAGAAGATTCCCTTGCTGTTTTAACAGAATACTTTGAGATGTCCAGCCCAGATCGCTTTGAAATGCCATGGCATCTATGGATTAATCTTCTTGAGTTGCCTCTTCAGACTTAAGTAAACGGCAGAAGAGTTTCTCCTCTGAATTCTAACCAATTCAAAGCGGTAATATGCTAAGTCAGACAGTGCCCCATTCACTCCTGAGGGGCAAGATGCACTGTATCTACGAGCAGGGTAAAAACCAGGTTAGCCTTGAGCCACGGTCCCCATAAGTTTCTCTAGAGGGAATGGTAAGCAACATATTACCTCATAAAATGGAACCTGTCATAGGACAAGTCCGAAGCTACCATTTCAGCCAAGTGATCCCTCCACTAGTGACTTAGTGGACTTTGTCTTAAACTGATGAATATTTTCTTGTTCTCTCCCAGATCAATTGCTTCATTTAAAATGTTATTGCAAAATGATTTTTAAAAAATAGCCCTCTATGTATCCTTCATAATGATTATATAGGCCTTCAGTTCTTTAAATCTTCTTTGATTAGTGTTTTAGGACATGATAGGGATCTTACTTAAAATATATATATGAAAGTCCATGTGTAATGTAATTCTTCCTGTTGATGACTGGCTGTGTTCTAGGTTATAGTTCTTCAGTTTTGATAACTGGCAGATAGGAGACTCAATGCGAATGAATTATAGATATTTATCAATTACACTTTCTGTAGGTTCTTACGAGACTTGCACTGTCTACTGGTCAAATGGTTTTGCCAGTGTCCTTCTCTCCTCTCGTCCTCACTTGGCAGGTGTATTTGTGTGTGTGCACTTTTGTACACATGTAGAAATGCCAAGAGCAGTCCATTCCTTGCCTGTGTTTGTTTCATGTTTACTGGAGAAAGTGAGGAGTTGAAATCGTGCTGAAATAGATTTTTCTCTTTTTTCCCTCTCTGATTTGAGAAGTAATCCCAGTTGAAAACTGAAATTCTGACAGCACTGTCAGTGCCTTCTGCACAGCTCCCCTGTGAAAGGGGCATTTTCACAGCTCCTGACCAGGCTCAATGAGCAAGATTGGAGCTATTCAATGTGAATGAATTAGGGGAAAAGTAGGTGTAGGGATTGAAACATAGTCCCTGTTACTTTGCAGGACATAAATCCAAAATATGCTCTAGGGAAGTGAAGTGTAAAGAAAGCAAAGCATAGAAATTAGATTGTTCTAACACCAGCCATGCCACGTTGTCCTGTGGTGTGCTGTAGAAATCGTTTATTATGCAAAATATGAAACAGGACACCGAAACAGGTGGTTCTGTTGTCATATCAAATAAAGCCTGCCACAGTAGCAGGTGGAGTTTGGGGGAGAGTATTTTTGTTTAATCCGAGATTACTGATAAATGACATATTGAAAATGGATACTTCTTTAAGAGACCACAGGCATGAAACGTCCCTAGAGAGCCTCTCATTCTTAATAATATATCACTGACACTGTGGCCAGTCTTCTACTACCTTTCATGATCAACTGTCTTCTGTCTCCACATACAATCTGCGTGTTTGGGTAGAAGGAGAGGAAATATATGTGGAAGATAATAATAAAACTTCTGATCAAAGGAGAGAGAAACATATTTTAAAGCTTTAACGATCCTATAGACTTGAGCTGAATTTAGGAGCATCATAAATAATGTTCTGATATTAACACAGAGAATCCACATTGAAAGGAATGAGATATGATGTGTTCTGCAAACTGCCTTTCTCAAATGTCCTCTTAGGTATTTTTTCTCTTTGGATCTGGAAATAGAGCATTAGGCTGTGACAATTTACACAAAATAGCAAGACTCTAAGCCTATTCTTTTTACTGAGCATTCAGAATCCTGTTTGTTCAGTTATTTACATACTCATACGTTTGCCGGGTTCCCACTCTACCAGGCAAGCACTACTGTTGTTCAGGTAGCAAGCGTTACTGATTGATGTAGGCCTACAATATTTTACATTTGAAGGACAGTGATGTGTGTGTGTCTGTCTTCCTGACCTAAAGAGCCTCAAAGGAAAGCAGCAAAGAGAAAGTACCATGGCAAACTAAAACAAGACAGAATTTTACAAAGCATACACTTGGGCTGACACCCAAACACAGCTCTGCTTTATAACTTGTGTCCAACAGCAGGGGAGGATATAATGGAAAACAGTCCAATGGGCAACTACTGTAAGGAGGAGTGGCTCGTGGAAGGGGGCACCGAACGGGACGGCCTTAAGTGTGGTAATTGCACTTCTCCTGCTATGGACCGAATGGTCCAGAATATAGATGACTCTTCCTGCTGAAAAGCTGTGAGCAGTATTCAAATGTGCCTCATTCTTAGAGCCAGGGAAAGATATTGATGATAAGTAGCATCTTATTGAATAATACAAACGTAAATAACAGATCACTTGTCTTACAGTTAAGTCTTAGTCTTTGACTCTATAGCTGTTAACAGGCATATTTAAAGATACTAGAAAAAATCTGTAATCTCTAGATTTAAATTGTCATTAGCAACTTGAAAGCTTTCTGTGCAATTAACTCTAATGAAAGGGGGAAAGGTGAGCACTACATTACCCAACATATAGGAAGATGCTGTGAGATTCTGTCAATAATTTACTAATTGTGTATTTTATTTCTCTTAATAAACAAGAGACATTAAAGAGAATCCCAGATCTTCCCAAATGTCTCTGTTGGCCAGAGTGATATATTTTCTTCATGGCGTGGAAGAAGAAAAGGGGAGGCATTAAATTGTGGCTTTGTGCGTCTTCTCTCCCTGCACTGCCTGATTTTACTGAAATAGGCAGGCTGGGATTTTGATACTAAAGTGAATGAATATGGCTACATCACCTTTCCAAGTTCTATTTGCAAACGTACGAGCATATTAGTTTTACAATAAGCTAGAAGTTTCCTACGTTCATTAGATGGTTTTGCCTTTTCTGTTTTCCTGAATGTAGTACTCCCTGAACACAGCTCACAGCTTATCTCCACATGCACTTAAATTCTGAAGCACATGAACTGATGTGTTGGTAAACTGTTGTATTTTCAGGTATGTTTAATCATACTTGGTTTTAGGACACCCAGTCTTCTAAGACAACTAAGAAATACCAAAAGGATTTAAGATGAAACTAAAAAACCAACTAGGCTGGGGGTAGAGCTCTGTGATAGCGCATTTGCCTAATACACAGGAGGTCCTGGGTTCAATCCCAAGGACCACAAAACAAACAAACAAATGGACTAATTTGAGGGCTCAGCTGACCAGTAGGCGCCTTTTATGCACCTGTTAAAAACCACGTTCTCTTTCTAATCTTGGATTTTGTAAATTTTCCAAAGACTTGGATTTCACAAATTGCCTCGAGAAAGTTCTTTTTTGTAGACATTTATAAGGTGTTCAAGCAGGGTACTTCAAAACAATTGGAAAAATCTGTGACTAACCTCTTGGCTTTGTTTGTTTGTTTCAGGGGTGAGTTTACTTATACCACATGGAGCCATTCCAGAGGAGAATTCTTGGGAGATTTACATGTCCATCAACCAGGGAGAACCCAGGTGAGAAACAGAAGGAAAACATAAATGACATCTTAAATACAGATTGGGACTTTTGCTGAAATTAGAAAGATAATAAGACATGGTGGGTGTAGGTAAGATAGTTTGCTACTATCTGTAATAAAGTGAGTCTACAGAAGAAAAAAATCACTTCAAAACTGTTGGAGGGAGTGAAAATATACACGGCTTCACATTTGATAGTCACTGCTTAGCCTACTAACAGCAGGCAATTAAAAGAGTTGGTAGACAGGTCCTAAGCAGGCCTTTCCATAAACATTGCCCCCCTCAGCTAGTCTACCTCACAAAATAAATAACATTTTCCCTAAAGGTGCTCTTCAGTGCTGGGTATTACGGAAATGCATGCAGTGGTTCACTCATGATTGTTTAAGGTCAGCAAAAGACCTGCTCTCTACTCTACAAGCTAAGAGACAATTTTTTAGGCAATTTTCCTCCGTGTAAAAAAAAAATATGGTCTAAACTTCAATAGCTTTCAAGTCTGACAAATTTCAGCGGCATTAAATTCAATTACAAGAACAAATATAAATCTTGTATCTTAATGAAAGTAGTCGGTTATTTTCTTAGCACAACTGTAATATTTGTAGAAATGTTGCCTTCCTCCACACATGATAAACCTAACTCCTCTTTAGAAGGCAATTTGTCTCGTAAACTGGATATATACCTCTGGCATTTTTAGTCATAACATCTTGCTTATTTTAAAATAATTTTTTGTTGTTGTTAGCAAAAAAAAAAAAGTACATAAAAGAAAAACACTGGAAAGAAAAGCAGCCAAAGAAACAGATGGTTTAAACAGATTTTGATAGCTATTTCTGTAAAAGGGTTTGCGAGTACCCAGTGGTTCTTGCTTTCTGCTCTGTAGAGCTTGAGCAGAATGGAAGAGAAAGCTTCTCCAGAGGGTTGTTGATGATGCTCTTGAAGGACGTCTGTGTAGCTGTGTTGTGTTGGCTGTGTTCTTTCCTTCATCCTGTAGAGTTAGCTGCTTTTTCTGTGTTCCTGAAAAGGTGCTGATGTCTAACTACCTCCACTTGACAAGTGGGGGAAATCTGAGATTTAGGAATTCTTGAAGAATGTGTTTAGAACCCTTTCATAGGTAAGCTAAGCAGACCTAAATATGGGAGTTCAGATGAGAGTCACCTCTTCTTTATCCCTGATTTGAGAAACCACAGCTGTTTAAATGAAGGTCATGGTCCCTTACACATGTGGTTTAAACAGATTGTCCTACAAAAACCCTGGTGCAGTAATCCCTCTGCATCCACAGGAGATTTGTTGAGGGCCTCCACAGGATACCAATAGCCACATACATTTAGTTCCCTTTTTTAAAATGATGATTTCACAAATAACCTACACATATATCCTCCTGTATACTTTAAACCTACACATATATCCTCCTGCATACTTTAAATCATGTCTAACATTACTTATAATATCTAATACAATGTAAATGTTCTGTGGTTGTTACACTACATTGCTTGGATAAGAAAAAAATCCATAAATGTTTGATCTGCATGCAGCTCTTTTCAGATACTTTTGATCTGAGGGTGATCAAGTCAGCACATGTGGAATCTGAGGCTGCAGAAGACTGACTGTACAACCCAGTGTCCAGCCATTCTCTGTGCATCCTCCCATCTTTATTGCAGTCTATCCACCAAGACTGCACTCAGCGCAAACCCTCCCATAGTGTCTTCCTCATTACTTGAGAACCAACCTAGGGCTATTTCACATATTTCCAGGGTATCTAATACAACTTAGCTTATTTCGTGTCTCTTACTAGAAGCGACTTCTTCTTAAGAGGTCAGAGCTAGAATGTGCCAGCTGGCATCAAGCATGCAAAAACAAATAAAATGTCTCAAGAAGTCTCAGAGAGAAATGATCACTTGAGATATACTGCACATTTAAGAGCGGGGGAAGAAAATACTTATGAACCTGGCAGAGTCCAAAGTCGATGAAAGACACGTTGGCCTAACGGGGTTACTCCCTGGGCCTGTACAGCTTTGTGAGTTCCATGGTAACCGGTTCTATTTATCCATCTATAGGTAGGGTGTGAGTTCATTACTGCTGTCTAGGAAGTGGATAGAAACAAAAACCGTTTATCCAAGACTGTAGATCTGTGAGGTGTGCATTTCCCTACCTGTTAAACTGTGGTAACAATAAAATTGTAGAAAGCACACATTCCCTTTCCCATTGCTGAAACCTCCCCCAATGTTCCTGTCTCATAGGAAAACAAGTCTGTGAGCTGCAGAACATGTAGCGTCCTTGGTGATCCTCATTCCCTTGTGAGTGACACCAAACTATTCACAAAAACACAAAGAGTGGCAAATGCCTCTCTGCACTTTATTCTGTGCTGGGATGATTTTCTTTTTCATCTGTGCCAAGAAGCCCCTTGGAACTGTGTTCTTTTGCTCTTATTCTGTGATTCATCAGAAGACAACCATGGTACCATCTTTGTACTTGGGATTACTTGCAATCCCATTTCTATTTTTTGTCACCTGTCTTTCAGCCTAAACTTCCACCACTGTGCACAGAGCTGCAGTGCTCTGCTCGTCTCCTTGCATCTGCCCTCCAGTTCCAGCCCCCTTCCTTCCCTTTATGTCCTAGGTCTGAGAATCGGATGTGCTGAGCCTCCATCACAGCCACACACAGAGTAACACAGGGTCTTTCAAGCAAGACATTTATGCCATATTTAAAGCGTCCTCCACCCTCCCCTTGATGATATTCTCTATTGCCCCTTCCTTAGTTACACCTCCAGGTCAGCAGGATAGTGACTGAGGCAATAGATCCAGATTCTGTAGGATGGGGCTGTGTGGAACGCACTGGGATGCAATACAGTCTTCCAGACTCCCGCAGTCACGCTTGCATATTCTGAGAAGCTTTATGTGAGGTTGCATTTTTCTCCGGAATCAAACATGCCCTGCCTCTCTCAGGATGTCCTACTCAAATTCCTGGGGAGCATCCAGAAGGAAGCTGATTTCCCTGAACAAGGCACTGTCACTGTCCCTCAATGACATCCCCGCTCCGTCTACAGTTTCAGACTTGAACAGCTACACATGAATTGTCCACTTCTTCCTGTAGTCTGGACCTCTGTGAGTGCTGATAACATGGGTCTTAATTGTCCCCCCAGGACCCACATGTCCAAGGCTTGGCTGCAAACCTGCAGCATTACTGGGAGGTAGAGGAACAGGTGTTGTCTAATGGAGGAAAGGGGAGGAAGAAAAGAGTTTGGGGGATTCGGGGTTTCATTCTGAAGGTGAAGTAGGAAACCTGGTGCTTCCTTTTTTCTCTCCCTCTCCCCCTTTGTCTCATCTGCCCCTTGGCTGCCATACTCTCCAACCAGGATGTACTGTGCTGTCCCAGGCCCATCAGCAGTGACCATGCACTGAAACTTCTAAGACCATGACCCAGAATAAACCCTTCCTCTTAGAAGTTGATATCTCAGGTATTTTGTCAAGCAATAGTGAAGGTACCTCTGTTGGCTTTTTGGACATTAGTTGTACTCAGTGGTATGCTGAAAGAGGGCTTTGCATTCTTAATAATATTTTTTAATTTTTATTTTATAATTCATTTGATTGGTGCTTTTAATATACACAATGTAATGATGTTCACTGTTAGAAATTTGTACCTTTAAATAACTAGTCTTGGTTTTTATTTTTACCCCATTCCCCTGCTCTCCCTCCCTATCTACAAAGACCTTGTTTCCATTATTTTTCATTTTCTCATATTAATTCCATTCCCTTCTTTCCTTTCCCCTACCCTCCCATTTCCTCTTCCTCTTTGTCCCTTTTCTTCCTATTTCATATTATCTATTACACCTCTTCGTCCTTATTTACACTCTCATTCTAAAGAAACTATTTGGTATTTACACATGTGTGTCCTATTATTTCACTTAAGAGTATCACCTCAATGTGCATCCATTCAACTATAAATGTCTCTAATTTCTCACTTTTTATGGCCAAGTGGTATTTCATTTTATAAAAATTTTCTTTATCCAGCCTCCTGTTGATGGGCAGTTGGGCTGCTTCCAAGTTTTAGCTATGACAAATAGCGCTGCTATGAACATGGATGCATATGTATCACTGTGGTGTGATTCTTTTAATTCTTGAGGGAAGATATCGTCAGGACGATAGCTGTGTCACATGGGACCTCCAACGCTAGTTCTTTGAGGTACTTGAGAAAATAATATGAAGCTGTCTCAGGATCATTTTCAGTGAGCTTACACTCTGCCATTTATTTGGTTTAATTGCCACAGTTACCTTTCGAAGAAGAGGGCTTTAGAAATGAAAATAAGTTTTATATAAATGAAAGCTCCAAGAAGCTAAACTAACTTTCCAAGGATGTGCTACTCAGAAACTGAGCTGGGATTTGAGCTCTATCAGAGTTCTATTCCGCAGTTTGTGGATTACTTTTTCTTCTCCTTGATGGAGGAGACTGTAAGGAGACAGCGTTTTGATACTGTCCTCCCAGTCTTGGCCCGAGTAAGCCCTGCAGGAGCACTGAGTATGAGGCAAGGCAGGATCAAACAGAGCCTGCCTTCCAAGTCTGCTGCTAAATTATCATAAACCAGAGAAAAGAAAGTCTGGAACAAATTTCACTCTGGTGCTCAGTCTTTGCAAACACCGTAAGAGGAAACATGAGCTCAGTGGCTAATGAGTGCATGCGCACCTTGAGTTCAGGTGTGAGCTTCACTGCTGTCACACGTATGACTTGACATAGGTTAACCACACTGCACCTGCGCCCCCTCATCTGGAAAATGACAACAGGTACTGACCTTGGATATGGTGTGGGATTGTGTGCCACACAGTGATACAGGCTGTGACAGATATGAAGATGAGAAAATGAGAAAAATATCTAATTGATGCATTTATGCATGGCTACAGTATATTTTCACACACTGATGAAACACGTTAATCTTCACATTAGCCTTCTGAATAATAATGTGATCATTATAATTTCAGAGCTTGTTTGACTTAGGTCATGGAAGGACTGGACCC